TCTCTGCGTGGATGTTGGAGATAGCTACTGCCTCCGGGTAGCGGGTAGCGTAGTCCACTATCGTAAGTAGATAGCGCTTACCGGAGTGGCTAGGCTGGGCCAGGGGTCCTATGAGGTCGAACACTATCCTCGTGAAGGGCTCCTCTATTATAGGCATTGGGACCAGTTTAGCTTTAGGGTTATCTCCCTTTTTACCCACCCTTTGGCATATCTCGCAGGTTTGGCAATATGCCCGGACGTCGTCAGATACCCCAGGCTAGAAAAAGTTCTGGGTTACCTGATGTAACATCTGGCATATTCCCAGATGCCCGGCTAGGGGAACATCATGCCCAATATGCAATAACTCCTGCCGATACTTCCGCAGAATTACCAACTGACGCTTTTGCCGGGGTCTCTGTGAGCCTATACAGTCTGCCATTCTCCCAGACTAACTGTTCCCCTTCCAGCCCCCCATGGCCTACCCCATGGCCTATCCTTAGTGAGTGGTCACCCGCTACCTCCCTCCCAAAATTCTCCGGGGTATCCCAGGGAAGGGGCTCTACTGTCGGGGATGGGGTAGGTTGGCTTACCTGGGTCTCTCGGTAGGAGGAGGATGGCTCTCGACAGCACAGCTTTGGGATCTGGTGGTCACGGCTTGAGCTTCCTGAGTAGTTGCGGATGCAAAAGCGGAGGTTAGGGGCCCGATGTCATTGCCCAACACGACCTCTGCAGGCAATTCTTTCATAACTCCCACATGTACGTTGCCAGCTCCAGCTCCCCAGTCTAGGTGTACTTGGGCAGTAGGGATCCGGTAAGTAGCCCCCCCCGCCACTCGCACAGCAATAGATTTCCCTACAATGGTATAGTATGCAAACAATAAACAAAAGGTATATAAGTAGCATCCTACTTACATAGACTAGATCAATGACCTGCTCCAGTAATATGGAGTGTAAGGTGGAACAATCCCTATCTGAGAATGTGTAGGACATTCAAGGATCCGGAACAATAAAAAAGTAAAAGCAGAAAAATTAAATTCCAAGGACTGGATAATAATTATAATTTTAAAAAGTACTTTATTATAATACACAATATTAAAAAGCCAAATAAAAGCAAATATAAATTGTAAAATATAAATTACAGTGCGATACCAGTCCACAATGGGATATAGAATCCTCGCTTCGCCAAAGCTTTATCAAAAGTGAATAATGGGGGCGGGGCTGGACCGCAGAGATGAGAGGAAGCAAACCTCAGCAGCTCCTAATGCAGGCAACGATTAAAGCTGGCTTTCACTGCCCAAACGGCAATTTACGGACACGACATGGTCACCAAACGAGAGCTGACACTCGGCTGCACAAGTTAACACCACTCAAGAGCTGTTTCGAGCGACATTTACCTGATAAGAGTATGAGACCTACAAACATGGCGAGTGCAGGGGAGACGGCCGCTCTTCTGCCGCCTCGACTGACTGAGCTCCTGTCCATGTTTTCCCCCCTCTGGACCGGCGGGGGTCATCTCCCAGAGTGTGAATTCTCACCTACAAACCGCATCAGGTCGAAGGGCTGACAGGCAGGAGACACGAGGCCTTACCAAGATGGCTGAGGGCACAGCTACCCACACAAAGCGATAGACCCACAACGACTGGGCAGCAGCTTTCCAAATAAGATTCAACGCCGTATGTCAGCAATTTTGGGAACGTCTGGAGAAAAGGCACCAGCAGCTAACACCATCACGGGCCAGCATTAAGACCCCAGCACCCACGGCACAACAGCCAGACAGAGCTCTATACCCTAAATGGTGCAAGACCGAGGTGCAGCCGGAGGGGCCCCAACCGGAAAAAGCAGCAACCGAAACTACTCACCATAAGAAGGATAGCCCACCTGGGACGAGAGCTACAAGGGGTGAGATCCCCATACGCCACACACGCCTGCAGAGTTGAGCAAGGCACCTATGGAAGTACCGAAGTGCAGCTTTACGCAGTCCCACCCCAGGGAAGGACATGGCCCCAAGTAGTCGGCGAGTCCGTGAAATGGTGGCACCAGCTCTTATCAGGTCTCAGGGCAGGAGGGGCGCCCCACCCGGACTGCGCGGTGAAGCTCCAGTGGCTACAATGGGCCCTGAAGCGCATATGGGGAGGCTTACCGACTTCCACCCCAAACACGTAACTGCAGCCTCCAGACGAGGCATCGCCTGACCTAATACCCGGCAGCTCCCAGGGACTTTACAGCTCAACCAAGCCGAGGCATTGGCTGACAGTGTATTATGTCCCCGAGCATGGTACCCGTGTCCCCCCAGGACATGCTGCCACATTTAAGCCTGTTTGTATTTGGACAGACATTATAGATAGACCTGTGTTTAATTCATTTTTTTGCTTAACTGCCTTTCAGTAGTTTGCCTATGCCTACACTTGACACACAAAAAGGGAGGCACTCTGGGGGTTAAACCTGCTATTAGCCTGATAGTGGGTACCCAGCTGGCATGCCAGACAAGTTCAGATAGCATGTTATACACTTTAAGACAGCATCAGAGAGTCTAGCCAAGTCTTCCCATCTGATAATGTGTTTCACTAAACACACACATGCTATACACATATGGCAGCTATCCAGGGATTAAACCCAATACTAGCCTGTTACTATATATCTAGCTTGTTATTGTATATTTAGCCTGCTATGGTACACCCAGCTAACATGTAATACAATTTAGACAGTGTCCGCACGACCAGCATGGCATGCATATATGTAACCGAGTCTCACTAACTCTTGCTACCGTATCTTGACTTTTCACGCATGTTGATTAACTTAATATAAAATTGTGCACACCTAATCTACTACCCCGATTGTATAGCCTGATATAACACAAGGGGATTGCCGTTGGGGTACCTCAAGCATGTTTGTACCTATTCTTTGCACAGCAAAAATATAAAATAAAATTAAAATTAAAAAAGTGAATAAGGAGTGAGCCAAGTTCTGGTTATTTAAAAAATAAATAGGTTTCGGTGTTTCGGTGTGCAACTCAGCTGTTTCCGATTTTCGAAAAATAGATGTCGCGCAGGAAATTAAGTTGTCTGTATGTATAATGTCTGGCTCCTGTTTGCGATGTTTTTAGTGTGAATCATCACTCAAAAGTGACATAAAAAGAAACGGACGGACTGCCATTTTGGGGTCGGGCAGACATCAGATTTGGTTTGTAGGAACTTTGGGGAAAGACGAGTTAAGTTAGTGAAACAGTAATATTGCAGAAAAATCTCTTTTTATATATACTGCAGAAACAAATTGGCTCTGCCCCCTGCTGATGATTCAATTCTGATGATCTCAGCCAAGGTGACTGGGGCAATGAGAAAAGCCACCCTAGTCAATCAGCATCCTCTCATAGAGATGCATTAAATCAATGCATTTTTATGGAGAAAGTTCAGCGTCTCCACTTTTCCAGGAAGCATCTGTAGTGGCCGTCTGAGTGACTGCCACTGCAGGTGTCCATAGGCAGCAATGTAAACACTGCATATTCTCTGAAAAGGAAGAAATCACAGCCACCAAACAATAGACATGAAAAATTTGACCATGTTGACACAAAAATTTCCAATGGAGGCAAGAAGGAAGATTTGTTGTGCATTAGGGTGTACCTGAACACACATGGCACACTCTGGTAGGCCGCTCCCTGAGGTCCGGCAACGTCTGGACACTGGTTTCCTAGACCATCGTCTTGTTGTTTGCAGCAATGATGCCCTCTGCCCTCAGTACCCTACCGGGAAATGTCCGGGGAAGGCCTCACCTAATGCGAGGAAGCATACGGTTGCGCAAGATCTCCCAGACCTGCGCACACAACCGATCAAATTTAAGGAGAAGCGACTCCTCTACTTCAAGTATGTTAGCAGGTCGCAGAGGTGTACAACACAGACTATGCCCGCAGGAACTTGGCAATGTTCTGTCAGCGAGAAGCCAAGTTTTGTGCCCAAATTGCACTGAGTACTGTAAGTATTTGGCTTAGTAATTCGATTTTTGAAGGAGCTTCAGCCACATGCGACTAGCTTGATTGGCTGTCAGGCCCCACGCACAATTGTATTTTTGTTTTAAACCTGTGCTGTGACATTCCGTGTATAAGACGACCCCCCAGTTTTAGACTAAAACAATTTTGAAAAAAAACATTATAAATACGGAAAAATACAGTAATGCAAAGGGTTTCCTAATTTCGGGTTTTTTGGGTTTTTTTTAAAGCATGTCCCTGATTTGCAGTATACGGTATGGATTTCAGCCATGTTCCCTGTGCCTCCTAAATAAAGGCTCTTGGGAGCAATGTAATTGATGGAGCCCCTTCATTGCCAATGAAAGAATGTGTTGTTAAAACTTGTCGATTAACCCCTTAAGGACACAGCTACAGAAGCTGGACATATCCTTAAGGACACAAGCAATTTTTTAATTTTTTGCTGTTTGTGTTCAAATGCAATTTGCATCTCTCTCATTTATTGTACCAACACATATTATATACTATTATTTAGACAACAAAAAGGGCTTTAATTTGATGTGACATATACATAAATAAATTCTCATTTATTACCAAAAAATGCAAAATAATGTGAAAAACCCCCCCGAGTTTTGGCAATAGTAATGTGTGCACAATATGTCCAGCTTAGGAAAAGTAATTCAAAATCAATTCATTTATGTGTCTTGATTTACAAAGTGTATAATATGTGTAGGATTTCAGTTTATTTTGAAAGTTACAGGTCACAAACTACATGACCGGTGTATAGTCGCCATATGGGCAGTCGGACTCCAGGACAACCCTCCCACATACCCAACCCAATAACTCACTGACACAAAGGTATATGGGAAAATTTGTCCACAGCTTTATTTAACCAATCTTGAATAATAATAATTTATTAAGCAATAATAATTTTAACAATAAACATGGGTCATTGCCCCCATACTCCGCCCTCGTAACCGAATCCTTCTGTTAATATAACAGGCAATGACCCCCATATAAATAACATATATACATATACATATAACATATAACATACGTATCAACATATTCCAACATACCAACTTAAAGTGCCAAACATAAATTAACCATGGCAGGGGTATACCCGGATACCCCTGCCCCACCAGATTCTGAGCCACCGACAGGACTCGGAACCTACCAACCACCAATGACCACAGTTTTACGTCTCCATGACGTTCATCCTAGGGAGCCTATTTCTTCTCCTTCAGCTCCCTATCCCGCCGCTGTGAAAAAACGGGAAAACCCAAGTCCGAACCAAATTCAGGGAGGGTGGGCGGGACAAACTCAGCAAGGTAGTAATTAAAAGTGAAGGCTTTAAAATGGCTGCCTATTTAAATAGCCAAGCCTACTTACCCATAACTCCCTACTTCCTTCCCTCCTCCTATGCCCGCCTCCTAACCCCTGTCAAGGCCTTTTTTCGCTTAGCTGCGCTTTGGCTACATGGGGCTACATGACCGGTGTATAGTCGCCATATGGGCAGTCGGACTCCAGGACAACCCTCCCACATACCCAACCCAATAACTCACTGACACAAAGGTATATGGGAAAATTTGTCCACAGCTTTATTTAACCAATCTTGAATAATAATAATTTATTAAGCAATAATAATTTTAACAATAAACATGGGTCATTGCCCCCATACTCCGCCCTCGTAACCGAATCCTTCTGTTAATATAACAGGCAATGACCCCCATATAAATAACATATATACATATACATATAACATATAACATACGTATCAACATATTCCAACATACCAACTTAAAGTGCCAAACATAAATTAACCATGGCAGGGGTATACCCGGATACCCCTGCCCCACCAGATTCTGAGCCACCGACAGGACTCGGAACCTACCAACCACCAATGACCACAGTTTTACGTCTCCATGACGTTCATCCTAGGAGCCTATTTCTTCTCCTTCAGCTCCCTATCCCGCCACAAGCTCAGACCTTGACTCCTTAAGCTGTCTGAGCTCCGCCACCCCGAAGAAAAAAGAGCCTTAGTTATGCCATCCTGCCAGCCCAGGGTCAACAGATCCCAACCAACTGCCGAGAGATGGACTCCATCCGAGCGGTAGTACCCTGGCAAACCACCTTCCAACTCGCTGTGTCGAACTACCACACCCCCTAGCTTCCGCACGAAGCTTGCCATCAAGCTATTCACTTTCTTCCTACATCTGTCAATAGCCTCCGGGTCCCTAGCATGCCGCCACCGCTTCCTAGGGATAATCTCCGACCAGACCAACATCACCCCCGGAAGTAGGTCCCTTAAACCGTTAAGGTCCTGCTTCATCCACTTCACTAGCCGCCGCTGCGGAGTGAGGCCCAAGTCGTTGCCCCCCGCATGGAGCACCAGCAGGTCCGGCCGTTGCCCGCCTGCTACCATCCGGAACACCCTTTCGCAGACCTCCCCCCAACAAAAACCCCTGTACCCGAACCACTGTACTGCCAACTGGTCCCGATGAAAGCCCAGCTGGTGGCCCTGAGCTCGAGCTGCAGCCCTCCTTTCGGCCCAGAAGACAAATGAATGGCCCACGATCCATGCGACACGGCCTGGGGGAGAGAAGGAAAACAGATCATAACAGCCCCTTATGCACCCAGCCCCCGGGGATCCCCCCAAAGGCCCTTCCCCATCTTACTCCAATAAACCCAAACGCACATATGAACGGAACCGTACCGACTCCCATCTCCCAATCCGTTTCACTATGTCATCCCCCAGACCCAACCGAGCTGCCTCCGTAGCCGCCCCAATACGAAAGGAGTGTGTACCAAAAGTATCCACCCTCAGTCCTAGCTTTCCCAGTCCAGACCGAAAAACCTTGGTGAACTGGAACCGGGAGAGGGAAGACCCGTCCGCGTGTACCAGCAGCGATCCTCCAACCCCCGGCCTCCGTGCCATGTACCCCGCCACCGCGGCCACTGGGCACAAAGCGGAGCCCGGCAGGGCCCGCAGCGTCACATCTCGGCCCTTGCCTAACATGTCCGTCTTGGATCTTGCCAGGTGTACAACCACCTTCCCTTCCAGCACTCGGACCCCCGACACCTGTACCCCTCCTGCCGCAGTCCTCGTGGCACTGACCAACTCCCCTACCCGAAAGGCTCCAAAGAAGGCCAACAGAAACGCCGCCTGAAACAACGATGCTTCGAACCTGTCGAAACATATAGTAGGCAATAAACCGACCAGGTCACTCAACACTCGCACCGATACTGGGCGCCGAGTGTCAGGCCGTCTGCGGCCCCGCCGGTACCCCTTCAGTGCCTGCCTTATGACAAAGGACTTAGTAAGGTCCTCTTCCCCATGTAGCTTGAACCAGAAAGCCATCGCCGCCATGGACCTGTCAACCACCGCCGGGGACGCCCCCTTCGCCAGAAATTGACAGGTGTACCAGAGGAACGCATCCTTGAGCGATTCCCCCGCCGGCAGGCGGTCCAACCCCTCCCATGACCTTTCCCAGGAGTCCCAGACCTTACTGTAAGCGGCCCATGTGGCCGGCGCCAGCGAAGCCTTCACCAGTCCCCCAAGCAGGTCGCCCCGAGCCGCCAAATCTCGTCTGGGCAAGCCTGCCCCACTTCTTGGGCTTCCGGCGCCACCGTCCGGAATCGTGACCACTGAAAACGAGACAGGGCGTCAGCTACATCATTCATGAACCCAGGCACATGGCGTGCACGAAAAACAACATTTAGCGACATGCACAACAGAACAAAATGACGTAGCAACCTAACCACGGGTTTCGATGCCGCTGATTGGTTATTCACAGCGTGCACCACGGCCATATTGTCCGAGAAAAAGACCACCTTCCGGTCCCGCAGCCTATCCCCCCACAGGGCCAACGCAACGACCAGCGGGAACAGCTCCAAGAAAGCCAAGTTCCGCATGAGGGGGCTCAGTCGCCACTCCCTCGGCCATCGCTCCGCACACCAACGTCCCCCAAAATAAGCCCCGAAGCCCACGCTACCAGACGCGTCTGTGAACAGCTCCAGTTCCGCAGCCGACACGCCCTCCTGTCTAAAAATCACCGTCCCATTGAACTCCCGCAAAAAGGTCTCCCATACGGCCAAGTCGGCCCTCATGGCCGACGACACCCGAATGAAGTGACGCGGGGATCGCACCCCTGCCGTCGCTGCCGACAGGCTCCGGCTGAACACCCTACCCATTGGGATCACCCGGCATGCAAAATTCAGCATCCCGATCAACGACTGCAGCTGCCGCAACGTAACCTTACGGGCTTGAGCCGCCGTCGTCACCTCCTCCTTCAGCCGCCGCAACTTCTCCAGCGGCAGCCGACACTCCCCTTGCAACGTATCTATCTCCAACCCCAGAAAACTAAGGCACTGAGCCGGCCCTTCTGTCTTGTCCGCCGCCAGCGGGACCCCGAAATGGCCAGCCACCCACTCGACCGTTCTCAGCAAGTGTAGGCAGGCGGGGGAGCCCGCCGGTCCTACGCAGAGAAAATCGTCCAGGTAGTGTACCACAGCCCCACTCCCCGCCTCAACTTTGACCACCCATTCAAGAAAAGTACTAAATTTCTCAAAGTAGGCGCAGGAGATAGCACAACCCATTGGAAGGCACAAATCCACAAAGTACCCCCCGTCGAAGAAACACCCCAGCAAGTGATGACACGCTGGGTGGACCGGAAGCAGCCGAAACGCTGCTTCGATATCCACCTTAGCCAACAGTGCTCCGCGCCCGGCCTTCCTTACCAGCTCGACCGCCCTGTCGAATGATGCGTATGAGACCGAGCACAAGCCCTTGTCAATATCATCATTCACCGACTCTCCTTCCGGGTAGGAGAGGTGGTGAATGAGCCTGAATTTGCCCGGTTCCTTCTTGGGAACCACCCCGAGCGGGGAAACCCGCAGACCCTCCAATGGAGGAGCCGGGAACGGCCCTGCCATCCTCCCCAATTTGACTTCCTTGCCCAGTTTTTCCCGCACCACACCCGGGAACTCAGCCACCGATTTAAGGTTGCGCCGAACCCCAGTCCCCCCCCGGTTCCGGAAAGGGATAAAGAACCCCTGACCAAACCCCGCCCGGAGCGCCACGGCATCTGCCTTATTACCGTAGCGGCTTAGCCACGGCTCCATCGCGTCTAGCCTCACCGGGGTTAGGCCCCGGGGCAAGCGAAACTCCCCCTCCCCCCCCAGCCGAGGTAGGGACCCCGGTGTGCCCCGACTTCCCTTTTTTGAAGCACCGGTTGAGCCCATGCGCGCCTCCGCAGCCCGAACACTCGTGCTTAAAGCGACAGGCGTTTCCCCATTTGCACTGGCCCTCGTTAAAGAGCCAGCAGAAGCCCTTTTGCATGGCGGCCGACGAGGCGGACTGCCCCTTTGCGCCGGCCGTGGGCTGAAATGGCTGCGCTTTTGCGCCATCATCAGCTTCATCCAGAGAGGCAGGTCCATTTGATCCCACCGCATACCCGGATTAGCCGCCAAACGCTGCCGGAATTGCTCGTCGTACCGCCACCATGCCAGTCCGCCATAGGTGCGATACGCCTCCCAAATGCCATCCAAATAACAAAACAGAGAGGAGCACAGGCCCGGCGATTTCTCGCCCAGAACACTGGCCAACACGCAAAAGGCCCTCAGCCAGTTACCGAAAGACTTGGGAATCTTACGATACCGCTTCTTCTTCTCTTCCTCCTCCTTCTTCTCATCTTTTTTATCGTCCTCTTTGAGATCAATAAAATCCTCCAAAGGGAGAAGAGAAAAGATCTCGCAGAAGTCACCCTTCCAGATTTTTTCCTTCACCTCCTGTTTGAGGTGGACCCCCAGCGGACCCGCAAACGACACATATGCGTGTTGCCTGGCCGCATCAGGAACCACCCCCCCCGTCAACTCAGCCCGCTCGCTCGTCGCCTCCGCCCCAGTAACCGTCACTGCAGTGTCCCCACCCGAACTCTGTTCCGCGGAGGGAACCTCGCTCGGGCCCGCCACCCCGGCCCCCTGAGCCCAAACCTGCCCCACACCGCCCTTTGTGGCACCCCCCGCTCCCAGTGAGTGGAGAAGTGCTTGAAGTGTATGAACCAATGCACTGGAGTGCAGAGAAGCAGAGGACTCACCGGCCAAGCCCCTCGACCCCGAAGCTCCTGGGGCTGCGTTGTGTACTGTCCCCTGACCAGGATGAGCGACATCCGTTAACGATCCTCCAACCGGGGAGCCAACCCGGTGCCCGGCCACATCAGATGCGGAGCGGCTCCGAGATCTGTAACGAGGAGAAGAAGTCCTGGGCAGAGCATACTGGTCATGAGCAGCCCCCCCGTCCCGACCTTGAGAGCGCCCGCTGGACACCAGAGCCTCCCGTCGCGCAACCACTCCTTTTCGCCCACCCAAGGCCCGATCGGCCCTGCCTCTGGGACTACGACTCCTCCCGTTTCTACCAGAGGCCCGCCCCC